CCTATGCCTTAATAGGGCTTTCAAGGTAAGTGACATATTTAAGGAATGCTTTTACTGGTTTTACATTCCCCTGTGAGTTTCCATGGCTGAGCAGGGATTTGAACCCCGAGCTCTTGAATCCTAGTCTACCACTCTATCCACTACACTACACTGGATATCCTTTGCGTTCAGTAGCTATATATATGTAAAAGTATTCAAAATGTTTTCAACTTTTTTCTCTCTCTCTCTCTTCAAGCCACTGCCCAAAAACATGGTGTCAAGACTCTGTGAATCTAAAAAAGTTTGTGCTGCTGCTGATATGCAGCTTCAGGTATGTTGACTGGTTTTACATGAATTTAATCTATTATGAGTTTGAAACAGATCTGCCGTTAGCCCAGTATTATATAAAGATATAATTCAGTGATATACGTACTCTGTCACATCAGTACCATATTAGAATTTTTTAAATGAATTTTATTTCAGAAAATAATTTACTCACATTTTTACTTGAAAATAACAACTGTGATTTTAACTAGTTACCCACTGACCATATTTATTTATTTAAAATTATATCTGCAGATTGGAGTGAAGTATAATTTAGGAAAAAGAGAGATAAGCAAATTAAAAAATTGACTTTTGGTTAAAGCATGCCACCAGAAAGCTAATAAAAAATAACAGATTTCTAATACATCAGGAAAAAAACTCAAACGAGATCTGTGATGGTTAACATCTTGGGTGAGGTGGTGCAGACATGATTCTTCAGTAACTTAAGAAAGAGGTAGTCAGCTTTCAGAATACATTTCCTGTTTGTATATGTTCTTTTCCTGCATCGTAGGTGAATTCTACCTATCTTCTTTAAGTGAAGATAAGGAAGAAGGTACCAATGTGATCCAGGTATATTAGCCTTTCTTTTAACCCCAATCTGAATCATTGCATTGAAGGTTTCAGACTGTGGTTTAAGAGAAAACACAGTTGTTAACAATTCTTAAGGTTACTTCCAACATCTGTGAGGAGTAAGCACATGATGCTATGTCTCTGTTCATCTTTGTGCCTCTGCCTTCTAAAATTGGTGCATAGATAAATGATTAGAAGGGTATCCCTACTTGCTTTTGAGAAATCACAGTGGATTCCTAAATTTAAATATTTGATTAGTGGATCTGTTGAGTTAAATAGTTTGCAGTCCCACAGTCTAGTCCTTAAACGCACAGAGTGAGAGCAACCAGATCCAGTTTCCATTCTGGCAATTGACTAGCAAAGTCTGCTAAACTGCTGTGTGTTTTTCAGAAAGTAGGTATGCAAACAGGAGCAACATAATCTTTCAGAAGTGTTTATATGTTAGATGTGAAGATCCAGGTAAGAGCATAAGCCCGAATAAATCTACAATAAATGAATACGTTCTAGCAAAACTATAGGCAAAAATTGTGTGTGGATATTTTGTAAGAAAGCAAACTCTAGTTTACTATACAGAGAAAATGCACACTTGAAATTTCTCATGCAGTTTCTCATTGTGCATGTTCAGTGGCTTTGCATGCAATGTGGAATCATGGGGTGACTCTACCATATGCGAGTTTTCCTCTACAATGACATTATCTCCTCTATGTGATATAAAATTAAACAGTATGATTTAGGTTAATAATGCCATTTGGAGAGATTAATCAAAGAATAAATAAATAGGGCAGCAAGTTTGATCGATAAGCAAATTGACTGGTAATTCTCCTTTTCATTTGTTTCTCTTCATTAAAAACAGAGTTGGTGAAAAAAATCTTCTGAAATAAATTGTTCTAAGGCAGATGGGCAAGGGATTATAGAAAATGTATAGTAATGCTATCATTTTACATATGTCTGATTGCTCATACTTAGTTCACATTACAGGTCAGGTCAGTCCTTGCCTGATGAAACCCTGGGCTGTATGATTTATGGTAGGCAGCCCTGCTCAAGTATTTAAGATGAAAACTGATCATAGTATTCAATCATTCTCCAGTGATTGTGGTTTTTGCTTCATGTTGAGTTGATTGCCATCTGAAATATGAGGTTGCTCATTTATTGATTCTTTATTTAGATTAGAAATGAGCAGTTCAAAAAAGCAAAGCGTGCTGCTTATATACCGCCCCATAGCGCTTCAAGCACTACCTGGGCGGTTTACAAGTTAATTACGCAGGCTACACATTGCCCCCCCCCCAAGCGAGCTGGGTACTCATTTTACTGACCTTGGAAGAATAGAAGGCTGAGTCAACCTTGAACCGGCTACCTGGGATTGCACCCCGGGTCGTGAGCACAGTTTTGGCTGCAGTACAGCAGTTTAACCACTGTGTCACGAGGCTCAGCAGTAAGTAGGAAGTGACTATTAGCTCAAAGAAAAGGGTCTTGCATCACCTCCCAAGTATTTCCTAGCTTCTGAATTGTGGAGAGACTCCCAAGAAAGTTTCAAAGAGTATGAATTATTCATCTTGTTCTGTGTAAATATTGGAGCTCAAATTGTGGGTTTAGTTAATAAATAATGCAGTTATTTCATCACAAACTTCCAGTGAGGAAGATGACCACCCAGCATAAGACCTCTGTCAGGTTTTCTCCTTTTTACGCATACCATTCTGGAAAATATTGAGCCTATTTTTGGTGACAAAAAGGGCCATAATGACAGGGTCATTTTCTCTCTCTTCACTCTCATGGCAACTTTTCGAACACAAAGCTTTCAGAGGAAATTGCAGGGTGACTAAATGTTATGCCTAGGTCACCCACCTCATCCTACAAAGAACCAGAAGAGTCTGAAACATAATTGCGGTTAAATGTCTGTCTCTTCCAAGCCACCGCAGGATATCAAGGCTTAGCTAATTATACCTTTAAATTCTTAGCTCTTTCCCCTTCAGTTTTCTGCTCCAAAGCCATAGCTGGCCTGGAAGTATATGGAATTCCAAATCCGAGATAGGGACATACCTCTTTTTTTTTCCTCATAGGAGGCATTTTTGGACTGGATTCCTTCAGATTAGGAGATGAATTTTAAATTTTCTGCATGTTTAAGAAAACCTCATGGCGCGTAGTGCCGTCCTTTCCATGTTGTTTTAGGGATTCTTTCATGTGCAAGCACTTTTACATTTAGGAGAGTCACTCTGCAATATGGTTCACCTTCTGCAGTTAACTTTGGCTCCCACAAAAATGAGAACAAGTCTCAGGACAAAATTACTGTTGTATATAGAACCAGTGTAATGCTTTGTAGTAGTTCACCGTTTTTCAAATCTCTCATCAATGCTTGGTATTGCTAACATATTTACAGTTACTTTGTTTCTGAACTTCCCCATGTCAAAAATCCTGCCTTGTTTTTTCGGACATGACAGAAGTGTTTGGTTTTTATAGCCTGGCAGACTCAAGACTGGAAGTAGTGGGTTGCTTGCACTTACAAAGCCATGCTGTAACATCCTGTATCAAGTTCCACAGGGCAGATAATTGCTGGTTCTTTGAAGCAAGAAAATACATTCTTAAAATTTGAAATATCTGGGTGCAATCCAGTCCATGTTAAACATTCTGAAAGGATGTTCATTTCATAAGGAGGAGGGGGGGAATGCATGGGATCTAAAAGGGGATAACTGCTAGAGCAATGCTTTCTTTGGAAATACCACTACAGGAAGTGAGTTTTCCAAATTTTACTCTCCCCTTAGACGTCCAGAGGGGATACTGCCAATCTGTTCGAGAAGCTGGGGAAGAACGTCAGTTCTTCTGGCCTCTGCCTTTTAGTCATGAGCAGCTTCAAAGGGATCCGCAGAAGGACTTTTAAAATTTTGTGGGTTTGGCAGTCTGCCTCTGGCCTAAATCCAATGCAGCACAGACTAGTGGAGTTCCATTGATTTTTCTCCTTGGAAGAGCCGTAGCACATTTGTTCTTATGGTTCCTAGCTGTGCTAATTTTTCAAAATTTCCCTTTGCACATAGTCCAGAACTAAGAGTGTCCTCAAATGCAGTTTCGTTTGTGCTATCAGAATTACATCCCTGATTCTTCAGAGTCAGATATGTGTCATGTGCTTCTGCAGACCTAGTGTGGAAACCTCTTGAACTCAGTAGCTTCTGAAAAAAGCAAACAAATATGTTTGCTTGCTTCAGCTGGCGTATCCTTTTAGTGATAACTATTTACCAAATAGCTTTCTTATCTTCTCAGCTTTTATTTATCATTTGTCCACTGTCTTTTTGTTTTTGTTTGTGTCTTCCAGTTTTTTTTTTCTTAGATATACTTAGGGAGTTCCCAGATTTCTTCCCTTTTTAATGTCATCCCCCATCCTTATTTAAGAAGTTGGTAAATTGTGGAGGAAAAATAGCCTGCTCAGATCGGCATGCCAAGTCTCTGTTTATCTGAGTGAGGAACACTAGATGCAACCATGCTCGATCTGTGGGGATTTTACCACAGAATCAGTGTTCAAGTTACATCTTTGAATAAAAGGACATTTGAGCCATTGACTTGGCTACTTAGAATATATCATTACACAGAGCAACATCCTTGAACTGTAAATCTGAGTCTAAGTAGCTCCTTATGTCGGCTTTGAATCCTATGCTCACATGAGTGGAATCGTATCAGTGGCAGCCTTTTATGTAGCTGTTGCAATGAAAAGTTCTTCTCTCTGAACTTCCTTCATCTGTTTTATAACAGTACTCCCCTCCACACGTGAGGTGCACATATCTTGGTGTAGAAACAGAAAAAAAACAGTCAAAAATATAGGAGCAATACAATAAAATATCAAAAAGAATGTTTTAAGTTACATTCTGAAATACAGTCTGTCAAGAGTACAGACTCTTTCAAGAGGAAAAAATAAACAATAAGGGCTTAAAGCCTAATTAGGCAGAGAATACATTTGTAGAACACCCCAATTACTTAAGCTGTAGTAAAACCTCAGGGATGACAATGCCAGCACTGTTGTCATTACTTTGTGGTGCTTCTCCCAGCTGTAGTTCACTACTTTGCTGCTTCTATCTCACAGTACATGGGATTACTGCTTTAACTGCCGCTCCTGTCCCAAAGTGCAGGGAATGTTTGGCATCCAAATATGGGCATATTGTACCTCATAATAGAGTACATTGACACATTTCTACATATATCACATGCAACAAAAACATGCCATCTTTTAAAATCTGACTGAGCATCCAATGAAAGCATGTTGGCTTCATTTTGAGGAACAGTGCGTTGGTAGTGATTCAGAAATTCACACAAGACTTGAAAATACTGAATGTGTAAACAGAATATTTACATATATTGTCCTGAATTGATTACATAAAGGAAAGATAAAGAAATGTTTGTATTTTAATCTTTTTTTTTCCCCGCTGCATGTATGTATTGGTTAACCACACACACACACTTTTTTTCCTTTGTCTAGATTTTTTATGCTGTTTTGGACCAAATATACCATGGGAAGCATCCTCTGGAGAAGTCGACCACAGACATTTTAAAAGAAACCCAAGAGAAGTTTTATGGACTGCCATATGTTCCTAATACTGTGAGTATCATGTTTTGTGCTAATTCATGTTTAAAGGAAAGAAAAAGTCAGAGTGTGAATATCCTTTTTCATATTAACTAAGACAGAATAAGATCAACTTTCTAAAATCTCAGACAAAAAATATTTTGTGGCTTCTTAGTAAATTGTATTTACATGGATCCCCATGTCCTGCACAAGGACAATAATGTTCTTTTTCTTTTTGTGGTTGTGCTTTTGAAACATTGGACAACATTTCATTTAAATAAATTGGAATAAGATGAAACATCTTCAGAGTAAGAGAAGAAGCAGAAGATAAACATTTTCCTTCTCTTCTCAAATACTGCCTTCCATGCATTATCATATAACCATCTTAGCCCAGAAATAATCTCAACACACATTCCTCTACATTGGCCAAAATAAGATGTGACACATACTTGCCAAATTTCTCATCTTTAATGAAAATCAGTGAACGCATTTATTCATTCCTTTGAAAAATTGGTCAACCAGTGTGAGATTTTTCACTGCTACCGTATTTTTCGTTCCGTAAGACGCACTTAAGATGCACCAAATTTAAATTTTTAGGAGAAGAAAACAAAAAAATTATCTGTTTTCTTCTCCTAAAAATTGGTGAGCCTTATGGAGAGGTCCATCTTATGGAACACACCCTAGGACCCTTTGGAGGCTCACCCAGCCCCCCCCCAGGGTGTGTTCCAGGACCCTTTAGAGACTCACCCTGCCCCCTGGGGGGCCAGGGGGGCGAAATCACCACCTTCTGAGACTCTTTTGAGGCTTGGGAAGCTTCAGAAGAGTCCCAGAAGGTAGCGATTTTGTCCCCTCTGACCCCCGGGGGGGCAGGGTGAGTCTCTAAAGGGTCCTAGGGTGCGTTCCAGTTTCTCCCGCGCTTGCCCCGTGGGGGGTGGGGGGAGTGATGCAAGGTTCCTGGAAGGCTCACTCAGACCCTTGCAACGCACCCCCCACGGGGCCAGCGCGGGCAAAATCGCCAGGTTCTAGGATTAAAACGCACAGACTTCCCCCCACATTTGGGGGGGGGGGAAGGACGTCTTATGGAGCAAAAAATACGGTATTTTTCTTTCAGTGACC